CCCAGGACTCAATGCGCAAGTTTCTGGAGCAGCAGTGTGACCTCCTCCCCCTGAAGCTGCTTGTGCCCCAGTGCCACCATGCGCTCAACGTCTACTACCAGCTGGTCATCGACTACTTCCAGAGCCAGATTGTGAGGGCCCAGGCCTGTCCACCCACCCGGCCCACTGACACGCAGAGACCTCACCCACAGTGTGATCAGGAAACCACGCTCCGGGGCAGAGCCCCACTGCTCAGCAGTGCACGCATGCCGACAAGGGCACATGCATGCCCCGCACACACCAGGCACCAGTTGTGCATGCATATCACAGCACTATTGCACACACACAGACACACACACAGACACACACACACACACACACACACACACTAGTGCACACACAGGTCACACCCATCTAGTCCCACAGACAGACATGCTCATTCCTTCATGGACTCCTGCCCCTCAGTCTCCACACAGACCTCTGCCTTCTGTCCACAACTCCCCCGCCAGCCAGTTCCACATGCTTCCAGGCCCAAAGATAGTGGCCCTAGTGCTTGGACCCTGGGGACCTTTCTGAGCAGAAGTGGGTCCCCCACCCCTTGTTTCTTTAGCTGTCCTCGTCCAAACCTCCGCATTGTACCCTAGAACCCCAAGGGCATCTGTGACTACGTGGGCCTGTGCAAATCCAAGCGGCCTGAGCCAGGGCAGGAGCCTGAGCTGCCGGACCCTCTGCTGGACAGCCTGGTCCTCTCAGTGATGCCCGGGGGTCTCCAGAGAGGAGCTGGGCCTCACACTCAGGTGAGGGGGGTTTGCAGCCAGCCTCTCATGCTGGACAGTGGGGACCCAGAGAACAAAGGCTATAGACAGGGCTCAGGAGCACATGGGGATCAGGGGCCTGGCTGGTACACTGGGGTTCCAACTAGAGACTGGGTAGGAGGGAGAAGAGGCTGGAGCCACAGAGCAGGGGAGGAAGAGAGATCTCCAGTACAGACCTGGAGCAGAGGGAGGGGGAGAGGGAGACAGAGGGTGGGGGGGGGGGGGGGGGGGGGGGGGGGGGGGGGGGGGGGGGGGGGGGGGGGGGGGGGGGGGGGGGGGGGCGCAGAGGAAGTCCACGGTGGAGGAGCTGAGGCAGAGGGAAGGAGGGGAGAAGGGGTTAGGGGAGGAGCAGGAGGAAGCAGAGGAGGCAGAGGGGAGAAGGGAAGGGGCAAAATAGGGAGGAAGGGGGTGGGCAGAGGAGAGGAGGGAGGAGGAGGGGGGAGGCAGAGGAAGCCCCCCCACCCCCAGACACCTTCTCCAGCTACCCCTCTCCCCTGCCCAATCTCTCCCAGGACCTCTTGGGGCAGCAGTTCCCCATCCCCCTACCCTTCTGCTGGCTCTGCAGGACCCTGCTCCGGCGGGTGCAGGCTATGATCCCCAAGGTGAGAGGTCCACGGCTGGGCCTGCGGAGCTCAGCAAGTCCCCCCCACCCCCACCCCTAGCTGCCCAGCTGACTGGCAGCATTAGGAGGGGGCCACCCTCAGGAGCCCATGCTCAGGCCTTGCTGAGCATGCAGTCCATGGAGGTAGCCGCTGTCTCCTTGCTCAGCGTGGCCCATAGCGTGCCCGAGGCCATCCCTCTTCCTGTCATTGTCCTCACGGAGAGTCTGCCCATGGCTTTGACACGCCAGCCAAGCACTTCACCACGGTGCACCCTCAAAGCCCATGGGAGGGGTAGGAGCCCCCAGGGACACCGTGTGAGGGGCGTGGGGGGGCATGGCCACCGTGAGCCAGGGGGATCAAGCAGGGGAGTGGTCAGTGGTTGGGAGAAAACCTGGTGTGGGGGGACCTGGAGGTGGGGTGGTGGCTCTGGGAGCTCAGAGGTCTCCGGTGACCTTGATGAGGGCGGTTCACAGGAAGGGAAGGTCTGGTGCTCATGTGGAGTGGGCTAAGGGAGCAGCAAGGAGGGACCGTCCTCCCAAGAAAAGCTTCTGCAAGGGGCTGCCGAGGTGGGGAGGCAAGTCCATGACAGATGTCTTTCAGCATGTGGACAGACAGAGAGGGAGGAGATGGAGACCCTTCAAGGCCCCTTCGATGAATCCTTTCCTTGAAGAGAATCCTTTAAAGAGCAAGGACCCTTCCCCAAGTGCAGCAGAGTAAACGGCCGGTCTGGGGATGGCGGGTGTCAGACCCCACCCCACCACGCTGGGGGCGAGGCGGCAGGCGGACCAGGGCCTGCACCAGACAAGTGGAAGGTCCTGGTCGCAGGTGGATCTCCTTGGGAAGGAATGAGCCTGGGAGTGTTTGACCTCTGTCTTGCCCTTCAGCCTAGACACCAGTGTTTGGAATCAGGGCCCAGCAGAGAAACCCTTGGCTCCTAGGGGCTTCTGGGGATCAGGGACATGCTGCCTCTGGAGCCATAAACTGGTCCCTCCTGTAACCCCACGCCCACCTCTCCCCCACCACCCTGGGATCCACCAGTTACTGTGGTGTCAATTCTAACTCACATGGTCCTAAGTAGAACTTGCTCCGTAGGATTTCCCACGGCTAATTCTTAGGAACTAGGTGACCAGACTTTTCTTCTGATGCCCCTCTGGAGAGGCTCAAACCTACAACCTTCTCGTTCGATGCACTCGGGTTAGCGATTTACACCACCTAGGGAGGGTTAGCGATTTACACCATCCAGGGACTCCGTAAACCAAACCAAACGCATGGCCACCAGTCAGTTCTACCCCACATCGGCCCTACAGGACAGGGGAGGGCTGCCCTTTGAACTTCCGAGACTGTAGCCCCATCCTTCTCCGGAGGAGCAGCTGGTGGTTTCCAATGGCGTGGAACCACGGTGCCACCAGGGCTCCTCAGGGGTCCTCTACCAGAGGCTAATGGACCTGTGGAGTGGTGGGGCTCCCCAGTCCCGGCCTGGCTCCGCCCAGGCCGCTGTGTGTCCATCTGGGTGCAGTGTCAGGAGACTGGGTAGCTCTTCTGTGCTTGCTCTGACACACTGGCTGAGTCACCTGGGCTCGCTGGCGCTCGGGTCCCAGGTCTGTAGAATGGCATTCCTTCTCCCTGACGGCCAGGGGCTTGGGGGGGAGACAATGCCTACAACAGGCCCAGGCCCTAGTCAAGAGCAGGTCCCACCGTGCCCTCTGTCTGCCCTTGCCCCAGGGTGTGCTGGCCGTGGCTGTGGGCCAGGTGTGCCACGTGGTGCCCCTGGTGGTGGGTGGTATCTGCCAGTGCCTTGCTGAGCGTTACACGGTCATCCTGCTCGATGCCCTACTGGGCCGCGTGCTGCCCCAGGTGGTCTGCGGCCTCGTGCTCCGCTGCTCCAGCGCTGACAGCCTGGATGAAGGTGAGCCCACTGCCCGCTCCCACGAGCCCCTCTCTCGCACCCACACCACCCTCTCCCGCCCTGACCCCTCTTGATGCGGTGCCTTGACTGTTTTCTTTGTAGCCCCCGGGGCTCTGGAGCCCCCACCGGGAGAAAGGCTGCCACAAGACCCGGAGTGCCACCTCTGCATGTCCCTGATGGCCCAGGCCGGGAACAGCACAGGGCAGGCCACACCACAGGCCATGCTCCAGGCCTGCCAGAGCACCGGGCCCAACAGGCAGAAGGTACAGAGTAGGCGCCCGGACTCTCAGGTGGAGTGTGGAAGGAGAACCAGGCTTCCCAGAGGGACACACGGTGTGGACAGTGGGAAGACTGTCATTTAAGGAAAACCACAGGAAGAGTCAGGGGCCGCCCCTAGACAAAGGTCAAGGGGCCAGCTCCATCTGCAAGGGCATGGGTCTCAAGCAGGAGATGAGTCAGGTCAGGGCCTACGGGAGCCATGAGAGAGCCTGGTGCCTGTCTAGTGTCCTCGTGGTATGAGCCCCTGGGACACTCACTGCCAGAGAGCCGATGCCAACTCATAGTGACCCTCCAGGACAGCGGAGAGCTGCCCCTGTGGGTTCCCGAGACTGTAACTCATTACGGGAGTAGAAAGCCTCGTCTTTCTCCTGCACAGTGACTGGTGGTTTCGAACTGATAACTTTGTGGTTAGCAGCCCACGACATCCCCAGTACACCACCAGGGCTCCTCACCTGGGACAAGCGACCTGGGCTTGAAGCCCTAGATTCCCTCCCAGTGTACAGAGGTGTGATAGAAATGTCTTACATCAAGGTCAGCCTATAATTATTTTCCCAAAATGCACCTGACTGCACAGTGTCCTCCCCGGTGCCCATCACAGGAGCTCTCAAACACCAGGGGACGTTGATTCCAGGTCCCCCACCTGCAATGCCCCAGCTTTTCTGATAGAGACCCCCTGTGCTAGCCTCTCCAGCCTCTTCCCACCTCTGAGCACCACACACTGTGCTTCTTTATCGTTGCCCAAATCCTGCTGTTTTCAGCCCAGTTCTGGGTCCTCCTCTGAAGCCCTTCCTGACTGCCCCAGTCCAGGCCCTCTTTCTGGACGCAGGACTCCCCGCCCCCGTCCACGCAGCGTCCCTACTCTCCCCTCAGCACCTGAACACTGCATGGTATTAATTGTGCAGAGCACAGATGGTAAATACACTGATGGCTCAGATGACATACGACTGACAATTACGCCTCTCATGTCTGTGACAGGCATCACTAATTGATCCCAGCACTCTATCACAGCGTCCCAGAGTCCTTAACAGACCTTTCTGTGCAGTCCCTACCATGCTCTTCTGATGGCTCGGCTCAGCTCAGCGTCTTATGGGCACGCCCATGGCTGGGGGTTGGGTCGGAGCTCTGGGTGATCCAGGTAAGGAGGGAAACCAGCGCCTCAAAGCAGAAGCACCCTGGAAGGGACCTGAGCATACCTGACATCTGTGTGTCTATCTCCTTCCTCAGTGTGAGCAATTTGTGAAGCGGCACACACTCCACTTGCTGACCCTGGTGTCCAGGGACTGGGATGCTCATACCACCTGCCAGGTACACCCACCCTGCCCATCTGACCCGAGGGCTTTCTCAGCTGCCTGCACCTCCCTCCCCTGGGTTCAGAGCCTCCCCAGAACCGAGAGGTGCTCTCTGCCCATCTTAGTAGAACGGGTCAAGAAAACGTCCCCCGAGAAGGGCAGCGTTTGGGAAGCCTGGAGGGCTGTGGTTGGGTACATGCGCACTGTGGGGCCAGGCTCTGCTCACTGACCCACGTGTGCTGGGCAGGTGGGAGGGGGCGAAGTGGAGGTTCTAGGGTAAGAATTTCACCCTGTCAGGCTGTGACTCTGCTTGGTCAGGTCACAGCAGGGGTGGCAGGCGGTGGCAGGGGCCAGAGAAGCTGCCTCAGAGCCTGCCCGGCGCTGGAGTGGGGAGGGGTGGCTGAGGGTGCCACCATTGTCTCTTGGACAGGCCCTGGGAACATGTGCAAACCCGCTCAACCTTCTGCAGTGTCTCCACTTCTGATGGGAACGCTGAGCCAGCCAGGCCAGGTGAGGGGGGAGGAGGATGGACAGGGGGGTGGGGGGTGGGGGAGCCCAGCTCTAGTTCTCTCGCTCTAACCCTTGGTGACCCTATAGGACAGGGAAGAACTGTCCCTGGGGGCTTCAGAGACTGCATCTCTTCTCAGGAGTAGAAAGGCCCATCGTTCTCCCTCAGAGTGGCTGGTGGTTTCGAACTGATGACCTTGCTGTTAGCAGCCCAACGCCTAACCACTCCACCAGAAGAGCTCTTGATAGCGATATGAAATTCTTAAATTCAGCTGGCACTACTCCCGTGGGATGGCAAGGGGGGGGGGGCTGGCCTGGCATCTTTAATGTCCTGCAACGGCTCTTTGCAGTGGGTCCTTCACAGACACTGGCTTCTCCCTCTCTCTGTAAGGCGGCCTGCTTTCTGTTCCTTGGTTGGACTCCAGGTGATTCCACTTCCGCTGGGATTCATCCGCTCAGAGCTCAGTTGGGAGTATACATTCGGCGGATCAGTGCCTACGTAATGCCATGACTGTATCGATGCGAATAAAATCCTATTTTCTCGTACTTAAAAGGAAAAGATGCTGTCTTTAACTCCTTCAAGGTTCTGCAGAGCCAGAGCCTTGCCCTGAGGGCAGCTGGGGAGGGGGCCTGCCCTGGTGCTCTCTGGATTTGACAGAGAAAGAGGGGTCTCCATTCTTCTCTGTTTGACGGCTTTCTTCTGTTACCTTCCCCGTCCCCAAAGCGACCGCTCACTGCTGAGTTGATTCTGACTCATGGTGGCCCCAGGAGCGGGGGTCACAGGAGAACTCTGTTCCCCCAGGTTCACGGTGACTGATTTTTCAGAAATAGCTCACCAGGCCTTTCTTATACCAGCCTCTGGGTTAGCAGCGGAGTGTCTTAACTGTTGGCACCACCCAAGGACTCTGTAAAGTTACTAGGGCACCAAAAATTACAAATAAAAATCAACGAAGAACCAAATAAATAAACCTCTGGAGTTGAAGGTCTCAGTGCCTGAAAGTCTCCCTTTATTGATAACATAACCTCTGTCATCGTATTTCCTATTGCAAAAGAAATATATGCTTATTGTCAAGAAAGGAGATATAGAAAAATAACTTTTTAAAGGATGAAAATAGCAAGTGAAACAAGCAGCCATCTAGCAGGGAAGCAAATAAATCCACATGGAAGAAGCACACCAGCCTGTGTGATCATCAGGGGTCAACAGGATCAGATATCAGGTATCAAAAGATCCAAAACAGTTATATCCATGTGAATGAGGGGGGTTGAAGTGGAGACACAGAGTCCATCTGTAGACAATTGGGCACCCCCCCCCACACAGAAAGGTTACAAGGAAGTGACAATTCAATCAGGGTGCACTATAGCACTGACAAAACACACATCATTCCTCTAGTTCCTGAATGCTTCCTCCCCCCCACTACCTGTTCTACCTTACAAATCCAGCAAGACCAGAGAACACACAGTGGTACAGATTAGAGCTCTCAACACATGGAATTCAAGACAGATAAACCCCTCAGGAACAGTAGTGGGAGAAACAATATCATGAGGGTAGGAAGATGGGGAGGAAGAGGGGGAAAGGAAAGAAAGGGGGAACCTATCACAAGGTTGGATATATAGCCCATCCCCCTAGGGGACCGAATAACAGAAATGTGGGTGAAGGGAGACAACAGACAGTGTAAGACATGAAACAACAATAATATATAATTGATCAAGGATTCACGAGGGTGGAAGGATTGGGGAGGGAGGGGGAAAAAGAGTAGCTGACACCAAGGGCTCAAGTAGAAAGAAAATGTTTTGGAAATGTCGATGGCAACATATGTACAATTCGGCTTAATACAGTTGAATGATGGATTGTCATAAGGTTTGTAAGAGTCCACCAGCAAAATGATAAAAAAATAATAATAAAAGAGAAAGCTAGAAAACAAAAATAAATAAAATGGAAGGGGGAAAATGAATGAATCCTATCCCTCCAAGAAGACAATCAGAAAACCTTGCCCGCCTCCAGTGGATTCCAACTTGGGAGTGTTCCCACTGGACAGCGAAGACCCCACAGGGTCTCCAGGGCTGCAATCGGGCTGTCCCATCTTCCTCCCACAGGGCAGCCGGTGGGTTTGAACCACCAATCTTTTATTTTTAAACCATTTTATTAGGGGCTCATACAACTCTTATCAAAATCCATACATACATCAATTGTGTAAAGCACATTTGTACATTCATTTCCCTCATCATTCTCAAAACATTTGCTCTCCACTTAAGGCCCTGGCAACAGCTCCTCATTTCCCCCCTCCCTCCTTGCACCCCCTCCCTTGTGAACCCTTGATAATTTATAAATTGTTATTTTGTCATATCTTGCCCTGTCCGACACCTTCCTTCACCCACTTTTCTGTTGTCCGTCCCCAGGGAGGAGGTCACATGTAGATCCTTGTCATCGGTTCCCCCTTTCCAGCCCACTCTCCCTCTACACTCCCAGTATCGCCACTCACACCACTGGTCCTGAAGGGATCATCCGCCCTGGATTCCCTGTGTCTCCAGTTCCTATCTGTACCAGTGTACATCCTCTGGTCTAGGTAGAATTTGGATCATGATAGTGGTGGAGGTGGAGAGAAAGCATTTAGGAACTAGAGGAAATTTGTATTTCTCATCGCTGCTACATTGCACCCTGACTGGCTCCTCTCCTCCCCGAGACCCCTCTGCAAGGGGGATCTCCAGTGGCCTACAAGTGGGCTGTGCATCTCCACTCCACACCCCCCCACTCATTCACAATGATATGATTTTTTGTTCTGATGATGCCTGACACCTGATCCCTTCGACACCTCGTGATTGCACTGGCTGGTGTGCTTCTTCCATGTGGGCTTTGTTGCTTCTGAGCTAGATGGCCACTTGTTTACCTTCAAGCCTTTAAGACCCCAGAAAATATAGCTTTTGATAGCTGGGCACCATCAGCTTTCTTCACAACATTTGCTTGTGCACCTGCTTTGTCTTCATTGATTGTGTCGGGAAGGCGAGCATCATGGAATGTCAGTTCAATAGAACAAAGTATTCTTGCATTGAGGGAGTACTTGAGTGGAGGCCCAATGTCCATCTGCTACCTTA